TACGAAAATGGTACCAGACTTGTGCTTTTTCATTCAAATTTTTTTCTGCAAGGTGTAATTCTTATCATGTATTTCCCATTGAGCACCAGGAACATCTATGACACTTAACACTTCCAGCATGAATTCATGATCATTTTTCTTTTGAAACTTTTCGAACTCATCCTTAGAGTTCTTGGGCAGGAAAAAGAATTCCCTAATGGCTTTGGGACTAAATGAGACACTGACACCCCTACACACTACCTTAGTTTGATTTCTGTCTAAAATCTCCGAGTAAAATTCTCTCACCCCACTGATATTGGCATCCTTTTTAGGGTGGAGGTAGAATTTTTCCCAATGTTGGGCTCTCACTACCTCATAGACATACTCAGGATATGAGGTGTGTTCCTCAAATCCTTTGTCAGGTGTGGGGTCTCTTGTTGTCATGATTTTATCATACCTCTCTACAGATTTTTTAGAGGTAAAAAAAGACAAGGAAAATCTCTCAGGATTAGGGGTTTTAGGAGTGAGTTTTGGACCGTGTGGTCCTCCACTACGCAAAATACCTTTCCTAACCATGATGATGAATGACACTAAAAACACACAATAAAAAAAATAAAGACAGAGAATAAAAACAGCAGATTGAATAGACTAAAAACTAAAAACAACAAATAGAAAGGGAAAATAGCACCAGGTTGACACTTTTGATTTCTCCCCCAAACTTAAGCCTGATCTTCTGCTAGAATTTTTATAAACAAAAGCCTGATCTTCGGTATCACAAGCTGTTTTTGTTTTTTTTATAAACAAAAGTAAATTTGTAAAATATCAAAAATAAAAAATAACAGCAATAACAAAAATTTATTTACAAAATACAATGTAACCATGCTTAATTTTTAAGTCTCAAGCTAGAATTTTCACTGCTTTCTTTGTCTAATGGGTGGGAGGGTCCATAAGGGAGATGGAAATCTGAGCTTTCTCAATTGCCTCCACCAAATAATGATTTAACCTTTGACCGTTGACAGTGAATGTGTTGCCATCTTGTTCATTTACAATATCTACTGCTCCATGCAATTAGACTTTTGTAACTTTAAATGGGCCAGACCAAGTAGATTTAAGTTTACCAGGAAAAAGTTTTAATCTAGAATTGAGAAGTAACACCTGCTGGCCCACTTCAAACTTCCTTTCTAAAATCTGCCTATCATGCCACCTTTTCATTTTCTCCTTATACAGCTTGGCATTCTCATAGGCATGTAGTCTAAATTCATCCATATTCAACTGTTTAGTAGCCCAATAGGCTTTATACTCTAATTCTAAAGGCATATGACAATTCTTGCCAAAAACTAACTTGTATGGGGAGCATCCTAGGGGTGTCCTATATGCTGTCCTATAGGCCCATAGAGAGTCATCTAACTTGAGGGACCAATCCTTCCTTGAAGAATTCACCACTTTCTCTAAGATTCTCTTGACTTCTCTATTGGTGACCTCTACCTGCCCACTGGTTTGTGGATGGTAGGCAGTAGCTACCTTATGCTTGACTCCATACTTAGCTAAGAGGGCTTCAAATTGCCTATTCACAATTTTTTCCCCCATCACTAATTATGGCTCTAGGAGTCCCAAATCTTGTAAAAATATCCTTTTTCAAGAATTTAATCACCACCTTTGAATCATTTGAGGGTAAGGAAGCAGGCTCCACCCATTTAGACACATAATCTACTGCAACCAAATTGTATTGGTTGCCAAAAGAGGGTGGAAAGGGGCCCATAAAATCTATACCCCACACATCAAATCAAAGAGTTCTATTTCCAAAATTGGTTTCAAAGGCATCTCTTGCCTCTTGGAGACATTTTCAGTTCTTTGACACCTATCACACTTATGGACATATATATTGGCGTCTTTAAACAGAGTGGGCGAATAGAGGCCAGATTGCAGCACCTTGGCTGCTGTCCTCATTCCCCCAAAATGACCACCATATGGTGAGTCATGAAATTATTTCAAAATCTCCTCTTTTTCTTCCTCTAACACACATCTCCTTAGGATCTGATCTGCACATACCTTAAACATATATGGCTCATCCCATAGGTAAAACATACTGTCATGTACCAACTTTTTCCTTTGTTGGTAACTCAACTCCTTAGGGAGCACCCCACTAACTAAATAGTTAGCTAAGTCAGCAAACCATGGGGTGATGTTAGTGGACACCAAATATAGTTGCTCATCAGGGAAAGATTCCCTTATAACTAGCTCAAACTCCTTGTCACCTTGTTGTCCTTCAGTTAGCCTAGACAAGTGATCAGCCACTTGGTTTTCTGATTCTTTCATATCTTTAATCTCCATGTCAAATTCTTGTAGGAGAAGGACCCATCTAATTAGCCTAGGCTTTGAATCTTTCTTTTCTACCAAATACTTGAAGGCTGAATGGTTAGTGTAAACAATGACTTTAGTGCCCACCAAATATGACCTGAATTTGTCAAAGGCAAACACTACAGCCAAAAGCTCCTTTTCAGTCACTGTGTACTTCAGTTGGGCTCCATTTAAGGCCCTGCTAGCATAGTAAATAGAGTGAAAAACTCTATTTTTTCTTTGTCCTAGCACAGCCCCCATTTCCCAATCACTTGCATCACACATCAACTCAAAGGGCAATGACCAGTCAGGGGCTATTATTATTGGAGCAGAAATCAGCTTCTGTTTGATCTCCTCAAAGGCTTTAAGACAAACCTCATCAAACTAAAATGGGGTGTTAGCTTCAAACAAATGAATAAGAGGTTTAGAAATTTTTGAAAAATCTTTTATGAATCTCCTATAAAACCCTGCATGCCTAAGGAAGGATCTAATTCCCTTTATGTTAACAGGGGGTGGCAGCCTCTCAATCCGATCTACCTTGGCCTTATCAACCTCTAAACCAGCCTTAGAGATCTTATGTCCTAGCCCTATTCCTTCCCTCACCATAAAATGACATTTGTCCCAATTCAAGACCAGATTTGTCTCCTCACATCTCTCTAGCACTTTTCCCAAATTTTCTAAGCACTCTTTATAAGAGTCTCCAAAAACACTGAAGTCATCCATGAAGACTTCCACAAACTGTTCTATTATATCAGTGAAAATGGCCATCATGCACCTTTGAAAGGTGGCTGGTGCATTGCACAACCCAAAGGGCATTCTCCTAAAGGAAAAAATGTCATAGGGACAAGTAAAAGTGGTCTTTGGCTGGTCTTCAGGGGCTAAGGCTATTTGATTATAGCCTGAATAGCCATATAGAAAACAGTAAAACTCCCTACCAGCTAATCTATCCAACATCTGGTCTATAAAAGGCAAGGGAAAATGGTCCTTCCTAGTGGCTTTGTTGAGTTTTCTGTAATCCATACAGATCCTCCAACCTGTGACAGTCCTAGTGGGTATTAATTCTTTCTTCTCATTTTCCACAATAGTGATCCCACCCTTTTTAGGGACACACTACACTGGGCTGACCCAGTCGCTGTTAGAAACAGGGTATATTACCCCAGCATCCAACCACTTAATAATTTCTTTCTTGACTACTCCTTCATAATTGAGTGAAGTCTCCTTTGCTGCTCCCTAGAGCTACTGTTTGGGTCTGTCAAAAGAATTTTGTGCATGCAGTAAGAAGGGCTAATACCTTTAATATCTGCCAAAGACCAACCTATAGCCCTCTTAAATTTTTTTAGAACAGCCAGCAGCTGTTCTTCCTCAAAAGCAATGAGCAAATTAGACACAATGACAGGTAAAGTGTCTTTTTCTCCTAAATAAACGTACCTAAGATGATTAGGCAGAGGCTTAAGCTCTAAGATATGAGACTCTTCAATTGAGGGTTTGGGAATTTTTAACCCTCTCTTGGTCAACTCTAATGAGTCAAATTTTTTATTTTTCCAAACAAGTTCAGATCTGGAATTTAACCATTTCACCCCTTTTTTTGAATTAGTTTGACTTAACTCTAGACCCTCACAATCAGAAACTCCCATTGAGTCCAATGCAGTTTCATGCAAAAATTTGCCTTTGACCACGCAATCAATGATATCCAGCCTAGAACACTCCTCTACATCCCTCGGGTATTTCATGGCTTTCAAAATATTAAACTTCACTTGCTCACCATTCACATTCATTGCCAATTCACCCTCTTTAACATCTATCACAGCCCCACCTGTGGCTAAGAAAGCCCTTCCTAAAATTATAGGTACCTCTCGGTCTTCTTCATAGTCCAAAATAATAAAATCAGCAGGTAGAATAAATTTATCTACCTTTACCAAGACATTCTCTACCTTCCCTTCAGGATAAACCAGGGACCTATCAGCTAACTGTAAAGTTACAATGGTGGGATTAGGCTCTCCCACTTTCAACTTCTTAAACACACTCATAAGCATTAAATTTATACTAGCAACTAAATCACACAATGCTCTGCCTATGTAATGGTCTCCTATGGTGCAAGGGATTGTAAGACTTCATGGATCTCTTAATTTGGGAGGTATCTTGCTAAGCAAATATTGACTGCTCTCTTGTGTAAGAGCAACAGTCTCAAACTTTTCTAGCCTCCTTTTTCTTGAAAGAATTTCTTTCATGAATTTCACATACGTGGGCATTTGTTCTAATGCATCCACGAATGGAATGTTGACATGCAACTATTTTAGGAGATCTAGAAATTTCCTAAACTGATTGTCTTGCTTCTGTTTTTGCAACCTTTGGGGAAAAGGTGGTGGGGGTCTGTTTGAGACAGCTGGTTTCTCAAAACTTGACTTCGATGTTTGACCCTTTGGAATGGACTTTTCCATGGGAATAGTCCCCAAAGAGGGATTTGTTTGGGTCTGAATTTATGGTTCAACCAGAACAGGCAAGGAACTACTAGTCACACCCTCTTGGTGGATGTCATCGTCTATGGGTGATTGAACAGGTTCAGAATTTTTCTCCAGATTTGAACCTTTTTCTTGTTGAAATTTTTCCTCTTCTCTTTTTTTTTAATATGGAAGGTCTAACCACAGCTTTTGGCTGATTCACATATCTTCCATTCCTGAGCTCTATCATGTGACATTGTTCATTATTTCTCCTAGCTCTTCAGTGTTACTAGGAAAAGTACCAGGGGGTCTGCTATTCAAAGCATTGGCTAAATGGCCTAGTTGGGACTCTAAATTCCTCAAGGAAGTAGGAATACTTTGCACTACAGCTTCCAAGTTGTTTTGCTTGGTTTCATTCTTAACGAAATACTCTCTCAACAAATTTTCTAAGGAAGAAGTGGAAGAGGTAGACATCTCACTAGATTGGTTTTGAGAATATGGGACTGAAGATTGAGCAACAGGTTGCTGCCTTGGGGATTGTTGGTAGTAATAGGTGGGAAAAAGTGGTTTGGTTTGGGCATTGGAGGGTCCAACTTGCTTCCCTTGCCCTTGGAAATATTGGGGTTGTTGATTCTGCCTCCAACCTTGATTAAAATTATTAGAAAAATTATTTTGGTTCCTATTTGGGTTTCCCACATAATAGACAGACTCTAGGTTGGATGGGCAGCTGCCAAACAAATGGGGCCCACCACAGAAAACACAAGTTTCACATATGTTCACAACATTGACTTGAGGTTGGGGTATTGGAACTTGAGGTTGGGGTATTGGAACTTGAGGTTAAGACAATCTTGCCTCAATGGCTTGTCCTTGGTTTCTCACTAAAGTGGATAGTGCATCAAACTTGGCTGGAAGGGCTGTTACAGAATCTACCTCATGCAAACCAGCCACTCTCCTTGACTGATTTCTTTCTTCAAGCCATTAAGCATAATTTTGAGTCATTTGTTCCAACAACTTATGCGCTTGATTAAAGGACATGGACATAAACATGCCATTAGTAGCAGAATTTGCTAAGGCTCTGTTTTGAGTGTTAAGGCTGTTGTAAAGGGTTTGTAGCACTGCCGAAGATGGCAAGCTATGGTTGGGACATTGCTTAAGAAGGATCTTAAACCTCTCCCACACATCCACTAGGGTCTCACCATCCTTTTGCATGAAGTTGGTGATGTCACATCTGGTTTGCACTATCTTGTTGGATGGGAAAATTTTCATAATGAATTTTTCAGCTAATGTATGCCAATTGGTTATGGAGTTGGATGGAAGGGAGTTCAACCACTCTTTGGCTTTATCAGCCAGTGAGTGGGGGAAAAACTTCAATCTCAGCACATCGTCTGAGATATTGGGATTCCTAAAAGTGTTGGCCACTTCTATGAAATTCCTAAGGTGCTTATGTGGGTCTTCCATCAGTAGACCATGGAACTGCCCCATATTTTGGAGCATTGTAAACATCACAGGTTTTAACTTAAAGAGTCCAACTCATCCAACACAGGTATGATAAAGTCCATCATGGACCTATCATTGTCATCTATTGGTTAGTTCTCTACCCTCTCTGGTCCTCCTTCATTCCCATTTCCATTTCCTACGTTCTCCATTTTTCCAAAATCTGGATTTGGGATCTGCCTATTAGCTCTCTAGGCTCTTCTTCTAAGCCTAAAAGTCCCTTCAGGTTCAGGATCAAAAGCTTCTAAGAAAGGGTGTGGAATTGCACTCATGCACCCTTTGAACTAAAAAAAAAATTAAACTTGCCTAGCTTAGAAACCAAAATTCCTATTCAGCTCTTTCTAAAAAAATTAAAAGAAACAAACAGAACAGAAAATTAAAAAAATGGAAATAGTAACAGTATCCGCAAACAGACAGAATTATAGAACAGTGAAAAAATACAACTAAAGGAATAAAGCTCATAATAAAAATAACAGATTGACACTAAAAAATTAAGAAATAAAGTAACAGCTATGAAACAATAGAAAATTAAATGACAAAACAACTATATAAAACATTGCAGAAAATCAGAATATTAACAGAACAAAAATCAAACTACCACTACTTAAAGAATTACAGTAATATCAACTAACACAATACAGAAACAGAATTACAATAAGATAAAATAAAAACAGAAGAAAAATTGAATTAACTCAAAAATAGCAATCACACATAGAATTATAACAATGTACGCCTTCGATCTCCGACAACGGCGCCAAAAACTTGTTGCCTTGCTAACAATTATGCAAGTAAGCTCGTAAGTATACGCAACAACAAGTAATATAGGGCGTATTTGAGACCCTAATATCGTTCCCACAAGGATCTTTGGCGTTTTTTAACTTGACTGAAAATTGTAATTGCTAAAACTGAATCTAATCTAAAAAGAGAATAAAAATAAAAAATAAACAATCACAAAACTAATTTAGAGTGTTACTAACCACGTGACTCTATTTCTTTGGATTTTTCAGAATTGATTTCTTGGGCTAAATACTGAAATAAAATAATAGGAGAGCAATTTAAGGTATGTTGTAAAAAGATTTTTTTAGATGACAGAAACAGATTGTAAAAATAGAACGATGATTAAGATTTGAAAAATCAGAGGAACAAGAAAAATGAGTTGGTGAAAAGTAGTTGGAAAAATAGATTGGGCTTTGGTTTACCTTTCCCAACAACAATAAAATGACTGTCAATTAAAGATTATTAAAATTCAATTCCCAGTTAACAGATCACTTCTTGTTGATTTTAATCTCTTAAAATCATTTTATCCTCAACACTCATTTACACATCTCTGTGCTAAATGAAACAAGGACTCATACATTACAAGTCCAAAATTACATGGTGGTTGTCCTAATTTCTGAGTGACAACCCTTGAATGCTCTCACACTCAAGTCCATGTGCCTAACACATTTCCAGAATTAGTCACCCCTCAATGACTACTTCCTAACATAATATCTACCATCAAGCCTCAATGACAGAATATTTAATTACAAGCACAGTATTAAACAACTGAGAATCACAGATTAACAAAAGTAATTAACAAACATCTATTACTGTGGTTCAGGTAACCTACACCCAACCTTGAAAGTTTTGGCTCATACCCACAAGGGTTGAGCTACAACAGCACACGAAATTAAAAACGTCCAGAAACTTAGAGTGCAGAAAATAAAAGTACAGCATGAGTCCTAATAACCGGAATAACCTCATTGCTGTACTGACGGGTTTAAATCCAAATAAAAACTCATTATAGTACCAGACTTAATAAAACTAAAACTAAGAAGGAATATCCAGAAAAAGAATACAAAAGATGAAGGAAGAAGGACTGACCCACATCCACTATTACTCCTCTTTTATAGCTCTCCTCCTTTGCATGCACGGGCTTTTGCCTCACACCTCATTAAGCATCCACGCGCTCCTTCCAACCGCGCGGTTTCTTTGCAAGGGTTACAATCGCACTCCAAAAATTCTTTTAGCCCACACTCTTAACAAACTCCAGCTCACCGAATTAGTTAAGGGGTTTGGCATTTTCTGTATAAATAAAAAGTGGCTAGGGTTGGATTGCTCATTTAAGGAACCGTGGGTGAGGGTTAAAACTTGATGGCTAAACCAAAATCAAAAAACGGTCTTGCTTTGTGGGTCGATTTGTAGAAGGAACTCAGGATGGACGGTTTGAGATGAGGGTTTGACGGAGATGGGTTTGCTCACGAGGGTTGTGCTAGGGTTTGCAAGACTCAATCTTAGTTCACGCTTCTGAGTCTTTCTTTTTCCTTTCCTTCTTTTCTTTCTTCAATTTGGCTTCTCTGATTTTCCTTGTCTCATAACATTCGGCCCATTTCTTTTCTTCTTTCCTTTGCTTTATTCTTTTCTTTCTGGCTTCTCTGATTTGGAAGGTAGAATAAAGGCCTGGAAATTAAAAATTGAAGCCCATTAGTACTTAAGCCCATTATATTTCAGCTCTGATAATTTGGGGTGTCTTTTACACAAAAAGTATATATTCCTTTACATTTTCACAATAAAAACCATATGTTTCAAGTCTCATTTCATAGACTTATCACGGGTACTTGGTAACCTTTCACTTCACTCCAAAATTTACTTAGGTATTTAGTGACCTCTCTAATACAACGAGTTTCATTACCTTTCTTACAATCTCTTAAGTAGGAAATGAGTTTAAGAATATGTTATAAATTTTATATGTGGGCAATATTAATTAATGGTTTTGTATTTTTCAAAATAATCGAGTTAATGGATATTCCAATTTAATCTATTGTGATAAGTCCATTGTTGATCATGTTGAGTTGGGCTTTTGGCATCTTTTGGTATTGGGCCTAGTTGGGCAGCACAGTGTAGGCATTAGTGTTTGATTAGGCTTCTGTGATGGGTGGACCCATCAGACACACTGTTGATTATGGTTTTGCTAGGTCCACTCTTTAGCTTATTTATATCGGGGTTAAGCCTCATAAGCTGTTATGCTCCCATCGCAGAAGGCTGCCATTTTGGAATAGGTCATAGAGAGAAAGACTCTGGCAGTGAGATCAAGGTTCTTCGCTCAGTAGATAAGATGATCCAATCAGATACACAAATTTTTCAAAATAAAATTTGATATATGGTGTTTTATCTATCATACATGCATCGATCTTTATGTTGAATTATTGTATGAAATTTTTTTACATTCGGTATCAGAGGAAGGCATGTATGATTTAAGACCTATACAATTGCAATTTTTTTTAAAAAATAATCTGGGTTGTTGAATACAATTACGATTTATTTTTTTTTAAATCTGGATTGTTGAATTTTGCTTCAATCATACAATCATCCAGAATTGTTATACTATTAATGTTGAATAGGGTAATCGACGTTGTGGACTAGTCTTACAATATAAATTGGTTAACTAGTTTTCAGGAAATATTTATATCAGTGAATGATCCCGAGAATTAAAATCCAATACAATATAGGATATTTGATTGTTGCTTCAATCATACCAACAATATGGATTTATTTTTTATATATACATGTTTTCATGTTATCTCGATTTTCGTGAATTACACTGTGCACTGTTTGTTACAATTCACATCTTGATTGGGTTAGTTTTGTCAATCAGCATATATTGACTTGAGTTGCCTTAACTCATATAGTCGTGATTTACAAATTATTTGATTATATATATTGTGTTATCAAAATCGCAAACCTCATTATTTATATTTGTTTACAAAAACAAATAAGGATTCAAAAACCTTACTGTTGTGATCGCAAATTGCAAATTGTCATGATTTTGATTTACGTGAATAGATATATTGGTTGCAAAGGGATATACTCAGAGACAGGGCATTATATATATATATTGGTTGCAAAAGTAATTTACAAATTTTTTTCGCTGCATTATATATTTTTTTGGCATAATTGTTGGATGTACAAATGCAATATGATTTTTTGGAAATACATGTTGTCAAGAGTTTCATGTTGTCGGAAACACATGTTGTTAAGTGTTTCATGTTGTTGGGCATTGTTGTTGACTCATTGTTTAAAATTATTATATGTTAATTATCTGCCCAAAGGGGTTATTATATATAATAATTTGAAAATTACATGAAGAAATTATTGATGGGAATACGTGATTTAAAATGATTTATCTGTCCAAAGGTGATAAATAATTTTTAAATTGCATGTGGTATTATGGAGAAATATGTACAATTTAAAAGTTTATCTGCCCAAAGGGGATTAATTTTTATAATTGTATGTAATTTTCCCTGATGTTGAAATCTTCATGTGATGGAAATATTTGTATATTATATACCCTGCCCAAATGGGGGTTTATGATATATAAAATATTTTGTTATTGCCCAAAGTTAATCTTGTTGCATTGTGTATGTCCAGCAATTAGCTTTGTCATTAACAACAACCATGCTTCCATTGAGTTATTGACTGGAACAAATTATATGAAGTGGAAACAAGATGTAGAATTTGGCATGGGGATTGTTGACTTGGACTTGGCCTTACAAGAGGATGAACCTCCCAAGCCAAATGAGAGAAGCACTGAAAATGAAAAGGCTTATTATGCTAAACGGGAGAAATCAAACCGACTGTGCCTCATTGCTATGAAGAGGTCTATTTCTGAGCATCTCCTTAGTGGGCTGCCTGAAAATTTGAATGTGAAATTTTTTCTAAAAGAGGTTGGTGAAAAATATAAGGTTTATGATAAGGCTGAAGCTGGAAACCTAGTGAATGAGCTGACTGATTTGAGATATGATGCTTCTATTGGAGTTGGAGAGTTCATTTTAAGGATGATCCATGTCCAGAATAAATTGAAGACTCGTAATATTGTTTTTAATGATGATTTTGTTGTGCATCACATTCTGAACCGTTTACTTGTTGAATTCAGTCAGATAAAGATTGCTTAAACGGCTCAGAATGAGAATTGGGGCCGTAATGAGTTGATTCTAAAATATGTTTGAGGAAGAAAAGTTAAAGAAAGAAAAGAATGAGTATGTTCATTTTACCTTTAATGCTAAGAAAGACTCCCGGAAGGCAAAGGGGAAATTTAAGAAGAATTATTCTCCTACTCCTAAGAAGTTTCAAATTTTCAAGAGGAGGGATAATGATGAAAAATATGGAGGGATAGTCTTGAAATGTTTCCACTGCAAGGATAATGGTCACAAGAGAGTAAATTGTCACAAGTTTAAGGCTTGGTTAGGAAAGAAAGAAAATAGCAAAGGTGAGTTGATGGTTTGTTTTGAATCAAATTTGATAGATGTCCCTTTAAATTATTGGTGGTTGCATTCTGGTGCTACTGTTCATGTAACAACTACTTTGCAGGGTCTTACAAACCTAAGGAGACCAAGTCCGAGGGAGGCAAGGCTTAAAGTTGGGAATGATGCTGGTGTGGACGTGTTACATGTGGGCAATGTTATTTTGCTTTTAGATTCTAGTTACAAACTCCTTTTGAATAATGTATTTTATGTTCCTGACTTTAGGAGTAATTTAATTTCTCTTTCTTCCCTTGATAATGATGGATATTGTTTTAATTTTGGAAATAAAAAGATGGATTTGATTTATGATTCAAATGTTGTTGGGAATTGTGTTATGGTTGATGGTTTGTAGAAATTATCCTTGTCTTTTAATGAACCTTATTACACTTTGAATATGGAAAGTGGTGTGGCAAAAAGATGTTTAATAAAAGAAAAATCACATTGTTTTGGCATAAACGTTTGGGGCATATCTCTAAAGAAAGGGTTGACAGACTTATCAATTCTAATATCCTTCCCCCTCTTGAGTTAGACAATGAAGAGATTTGTGTTGATTGTGTGAGAGGAAAATTGACCAAGAGTAAAAAGAAAGGAGCTACTCGTAGTCAAGAATTGTTGGAGATAATTCATTTAGATATTAGTGGGCCATACGATACTACTTTATGTGGTAATAAGTATTTTATCAATTTTATTGATGATTTCTCTCGCTATGATTATGTGTTTTTAATAAAGGAGAAAGCTGATGCTCTTAGCATGTTCAAGGTGTTTCGAAAAGAAGTTGAGAAACAGTTGGGAAAAGTCATTAAGATTGTTAGATCTGATCGTGGTGGTGAGTATTATGGTAGATATACTGAAATTGGACAGCATATGGGGCCTTTTGCTAAATACTTGCAAGATTATGGTATTATTGCTCAATATACAATGTCTGGTAGTCCTGAACAAAATGGTGTTGCTGAAAGACGCAATCGTACTCTGATAGATGAAGAAAAGCATGATGAGCAGGTCAAATCTACCTGGATATCTTTGGGGTGAGGCAATAACAACAACAACATATATATTGAATCGTGTTCCTAGTAAATCAGTGACAAGGACTCCTTTCGAATTGTGGACAAGTAGGAAACCAAGCTTATTTCATTTTCGAGTTTGGGGATGTCTTGCAGAAGTAAATATTTATGATCCCTCTCAGATGAAGGCTGAACCGAGGACCACAATATGTTATTTCATTGGATACCCTATTCACTCTAAAGGGTATAGGGTCTATTGTCTTTCTCGTGGCACTAGAGTTGTTGAGTCTCAAGTTGCAAAATTCTTAGAGTTAGACACTGATGATATAGGCTCTTCCAAGTCTCATGAAAGGGAAGAACCAATTACTATCATTTCGATTCCAGTGGCTTCTTTAAGTAATGACTTGACTTGGGAAACTCCTAGTATATAAGCTTAACCTGAAATAGATGCTAGGGATGTGATTACAGAACAAGAAGTTACTGCTGTGCATGAAGCTCCTCCAATAGTTGAACCAACTCCTGAAGTACCTCTGAGGAGGTCATAAAGGGAGAGAAGGACTACTATTTCTAATGATTTTCTTATTTATCTTGGTGAAGAAGATTATGAGGTAGAGGAGATAGTTGACCCTGTGACTTTTAAAGAAGCTCTTGACAGTGATCAGGCAGATGAATAGTTAAAAGCAATGAAAGATGAAATGAATTCTATGTCAGATAATCAGGTATGGGAGCTTGTTGATTTACCTGAAGGGCACATGCCTATTGGTTGTAAATGGGTGTTCAAAACCAAGAAAGATAATAAAGGAAAAATAGAAAGATTTAAGGCAAGATTGGTTGCAAAGGGATATACTCAGAGACAGGGCATTAACTTTACAGAGACTTTTTCTCTAGTATCTTCTAAAGACTCATTCAAGATAATTATGGCATTGGTGGCTCATTTTAATTTAGAGCTTCACCATATGGATGTAAAAACATCATTTCTTAATGAAATTCTAGATGAAGTGTACATGCAACAACCTGAAGGGTTTAAAGAAGCTTGAAAGGAGCATATGGTGTGTAAGCTTCAAAGATCCATCTATGGTCTCAAACAAGCATCACGCCAGTGGTACCTGAAATTTGACACATTTGTAAGATCATATGGTTTCATAGAAAACAAATTTGATCATTGCATCTACATGAAAGTAAGTGGGAGTAGATATATCTTCTTAGTACTTTATGTAGATGATATTTTGCTTGCCAGTAATGATGTTGATTTAATGAATGAGACGAAAGCCTTCTTGTCAAAGTATTTTGATATGAAGGATCTTGGAGAGGCTTCTTTTGTTCTGGGCATTGAAATTCATGTAGACAGATCCAAAAAGGTTCTGAGATTGTCACAAAGAAGCTATATTGATCATGTGCTTAAAAGTTTCAATATGCAGTCGTGGAAGGCTGGTGATGCTCCAATTGTAAAAGAAGATAAATTAAATAAGAAACAGTGTCCTGAAAATGACATTTTGAAAGAGGCAATGAAAAATATCCCTTACGACAGTGCAGTTGGGAGTCTTATGTACGCACAGGTATGCACTAGACCTGATATTTTGTTTCCTGTTAACAGCCTTGGGAGATATTTGTCAAATCCAGGTCATGATCACTGGGTTGCAGCCAAGAAAGTAATGAGATATCTGTTGGACAAGTGGCCTCAAACTCAAGAGGGGGGGTGAATTGTGTTTTAAAAATATTTCTATTAAAATGCCTTACTTTTCTTTTTCAAAGCCAATTTATTTAATTTAAATAATTTACAGCGTGTAGTGACTAAATAACAGAAAAATAGATCAGGTAAATATTTGATGAGATATGAATTTAAATATGCTCAAATGATTAATCAATGCTTATGCAAAAGATAAGGGATAGAGAGATTTGCAAACTTGATATATCCTGGTCCGGTCACTACCACTGTGACCTACGTCCAGACTGAAGTCGCTCGATCAAATCTTTCACTAACGGTCAAGCTTCACGGGTGCTTGACAAACCTTTACAAATTCCCAAGACTTCTGTCTCTTGGTAGACTAACAAGGGTTCACTCCCCTTTCCAAGACTTCTGTCTCTTGGAAGACCAACACAAGGGTTCACTCCCCTTTTGATTCAAGAAGTAAGATGAAGGTGATAAAGAGTGGATATGTACTCTCAAAGTACAGATATTACAAATTGAAGAACTAGTAGGTGTATAACCTAACAACAAAGATAAGCTCAAGTCTATGCAATGATCAAAATGAGTAATATGTGAGCAAAAGCAAGCTAGAATGAGTGATAAAGACTTTGTAAATGATCAATGACCGAATTGTGTGTATTTGAGATGTTAGGGGGGTTTATATAGGCACCCAATTCGAAAACTAGCCGTTTATAGCCGTTTAAAACAGTAGATATCCGGATATTTATCGAACACATATCCGGATATGTGATTATAGCCGTTTATAGCCGTTTAAACAGTAGATATCCGAATATTCATCGCGCACGTATCTGGATATGTGATATCCGGATATTCAGTATCAGATATCCGGAGATTGATATCCGGATATTCTTGGTCAGATATCCGTTTATTTCATGGCAGTGACCTTTTAACACATTTTCAAGAATTCCTTTCTTTCAATATGGTTTCTATGACTTGTAAAGCATATGATTGGTTATGGAAATTAACTAGAAAAGTATATTTTATGTAAGTACTCTTTCCAAACCAATTTTGAACGATTTAAACCACTTGATTTGACTTTTCTTAATGGATGTATAAGGCCATGAATATGTAACTGTTATAATGCCATGATTCTTTTTTTTTTGCTTAAGTCGTTTGAAAAACCTTTAGATGCATTTTTGACTTGTTAGTTCAACATTCATTTATGCATTTGATGATGTGTATGACTTGAGCTTATGCAATGCTATAATACTATACACCTTTACACATTTTCCTAAGTCCTAGATAAATATACCATTGAGATCTTGGACTTGACTTGATGCTTGGCTTGCATGTTTCTTGATTTGATTGCTTTTGGATGTTGCTTCACCTTCAAGCAATCTTCTTTGACTTGTTTGTTATCATCAAAACTATGCTGACGTGGAATCATCAATAGTATCATCGTGGCAGCTACATCATCACTTTGATTCTTCAATCTCCCCCCTTTTGATGATGACAAACTTTAAAGTGAGAAAGAGGGTTAGTGTTATATAAATTCAATTATTTTAAATTTGATACTCCCCCTGAGTTCATGATATGGGTATATCTCCCCCTTTTTACCTGTCATTTTGACTAATTGAACTTTTCTCAATTTAATTACCTTTTCTCCCCCTTTGGCAACATAAAAAAGAAGCAATTAATCCCTGTACTTGGTGATCTCAACAGACTTACCTCCTTCATCTTTGTCCAATGTGCAAGCAGTGCTCATTGAAGTGTCGATGGCTTTTGAATTCTCCATCCCAAATTTTTTGAGCAGTTCTTTACAATATTTTCCTTGATTGATGAAGATTCCATCCTTTTCTTGCTTGATTTGAAGACCAAGGAAGAAGTTGAGTTCACCCATCATTGACATTTCAAATTCACTTTTCATGATGTTGGCAAATTCTTCACAAAGTTTAATATTAGTAGCACCAAATATAATATCATCCACATATATTTGAACGAGCAAGATGTGTTTATTTTTCCTTTTGATGAAAAGAGTTGTATCAACCTTTCCTCTTTCAAAATTTTGTTCTAAAAGGAACTTGCTTAACCTTTCATACCAAGCTCTTGGAGCTTGCTTTAAACCATATAATGCCTTTTTAAGTTTAAAAACATGGTTAGGCAAGTCATGATTTTCAAAACCAGGTGGCTGATCAACATAAACTTCTTCTTGAATATATCCATTTAAAAATGCACTTTTAACATCCATTTGAAATAGTTTGAAATCCATCATACATGCAAATGCAAGTAATAATCGTTGTTGGACATTTAGCAAGTGTACTAGTCGTACAAGTAATAAAATGATGAGTAAAGATCGTTCCCACGAGGATTTGTGTCAAGCACTGACTAACCATATGTACTTGAGTTGAATCAAACAAAAGTTCATAGATTGCATAGATTTCTTGTCACCAGAAACTACACTGAATTGAATTAAAACTTGATAAATAAATAAAATGTAAATTATAATGTAAACAAGTAGTCAGATGTCATTTTCCCTCAAACATGAATTTATAGATGAACCAATTTCCATTATGAATTATCTACTATGTGATGTTGATCAACCTTTTTCTTATCATCTCAAGATGTAATCCCTTACTACCCTGATAGACACATTAATCAGAAACCCCAATCCCTTGGTGATTCCTTTCTTAATACATGCATTAATTACTAAGGTCTTAAGATCACATCAGAATCCTAGCATCAATCCCTTGACTACTAGAACACTGATGATGAAGTTGTCAAAAATAGAGAAACAATGTAAACATGTCTGTTCTACACTATTCCTCAACGTGAAGAATTAATCAAGACAACTTCATACAATCACATAATAGATAAACAAAACATCTAATTAACCATTCATAAATTCAAACTTGAGTTCCATTGAATCAGACTACAAAGGACTCTACTCAGACATAATACAAATAATAACAAGAGAAGAAGAAGAAAGATCAAACTCCATTGTCATGATAGTTGAGTCTTCAATCTTCAAGTACAATTACATGAAAGTATACTAACTATTACAATACTAAGTCCTAAGAATTTGGAAAGTCAGAGAAAATGAGGAGTCAGATCAGATCTATGAAAGATCTGACCTGGTCTCCCTTCTCCTAGTGTGATGGGGAAAGTCAGAATATCAGAGAATGGATATGAGAGAGTTGCATCTGATATCTGGAATATGTCAGAATGTGAAGGCCCCTTGTCCTTTTATAATTTACAAATTACAACTGAAAACTGACATGGGCGCTAAAACTCTCATTTCTGGACGTTTTAGCGCTCAACCTTGACGGATGCCCAACTGTTTTTAACTGTCTTGGGTGCTAAAACGCTCAGTTTTGGGCGTTTTAATGTTCAGGCGCTAAAACGCTCAGTTTTGGGCGTTTTAATGTTCAGCACCAGCATCTTTTGTGCAACAGGGCGCTAAAACGCTCAGTTGTGGGCGTTTTAGCGCCCAACACTTAGAATTTTCCCATTCTTCAGAATCTTCTTCCTTCTCTCTTTTGCTTCTTAAGCTTCATTTCCCTACAAAAACAATGTAAATTTTCAACATAAGCTTCAGAACTTGTATTTGAGAGATTTCCAGGACATTAACCTCTTTTCCATCCATTTAATCACACAAATTGATATTAATTCATGCTTAAAAACCTGATGAACTAAGGGTTCATCAATCGTATGGCTTCTAATCTAGCAACAGGAGCATATGTTTCATCAAAATCAATACCTTCTTGTTGATTATATCCTTTAGCAACAAGCCTAGCTTTATTCCTAGTTATTATTCCATTTTCATCAAGCTTGTTCCTAAATACCCATTTAGTGCCAATTATTGAATAATCATTAGGTCTTGGCACAAGTTCCCACACTTGGTTTCTTTCAAATTGATTTAATTCTTCTTGCATTGCCAATAGCCAATGTTCATCAATAATTGCCTCATTAATGGTTTTAGGTTCAATTTGTGAAACAAATGCTAAATGATTGCATATATTTCTAATAGAATTTCTAATAGTTACCCCTTTTGATATGTCACCTATTACTGCATCAATGGGGTGATTTCTTGCCATTCTCCAATCCTTTGGAAGATCCCTTTCTTCCTTGTTAGCTTGAGTAGTTTCTTCATCCTGAACTTGCCCATTTTCTTTTTGCTTTTCTTCTTGTCTTTTGTCAGTCAAATTTGTGTTATCCATGTTTTCTACATCATCATCACAAATATTCTTTCTAGGCAGAGTAGGGTCAGTTTCATCAAAAATTACATGAATTGATTCTTCAATTACCATAGTTCTTTTGTTGTAGATCCTAAATGCTTTACTTGTGAGTGAATATCCTAGAAATATACCTTCATCAGATTTTGAATCGAACTTGCCAAGATTATCCTTCCCATTATTTAAGACGAAACATTTGCAACCAAAAATGTGAAAATGTGAAATGTTTGGTTTTCTTCCTTTGTAAAGCTCATAGGGGGTTTTCTTTAAAATTGGCCTAATTAAGGCACGATTTATTACATAGCAGGCAGTGCTTATAGCATCCGCCCAAAAATATTTTGGAAGATTGTTTTCATTGATCATTGTCCTTGCAAGTTCTTGCAGGACACAGTTTTTCCTTTCTACAACTCCATTTGTTGCGGAGTCCTAGGAGTGGAAAAATTGTGTTGAATTCCATTTTCATCACAAAACATTTCAAAATCTTGATTTTCAAATTCTCCCCCATGATCACTTCTAATAGAAACAATGTTCAAAGATTTTTCATTTTGAATAAACTTGGCTAATTTTCTAAATGCTTGAAAAGCTTTACTTTTATGAGCAAGGAATAATGTCCATGTAAAGCGAGAAAAATCATCCACAATGACAAATGCATAGTAATTTCCACCAAAGCTCATAGTTTGTGTAGGTCCAAAAAGATCCATGTGCAACAGTTGTAAAGGCCTAGTAGTTGAAACAATATTTTTAGATTTGAAAGATGCCTTCACTTGTTTTCCCTTTACACATGCATTACATAATTTGTCATTTTGAAATTTAAGCTTTGGAAGACCAATTACTAAGTCTTTAGAGATCAATTTGTTTAAGTGATTCATGCCAATGTGTGCAATTCTTTTGTGCCATAACCATGAATCATTTTCCTTACTAACCAAGCAACTGTCGTCATTTGAAGGCATACCATCTAGATCAATCATGTAGATATTATCCACTCTATAGCCCTTAAACTTAACTTGCCCATCATTTAAACTTTCAATTTTGCAATATTTTGAATCAAAAATAATTTTAAAATTTTTGTCGCATAATTGACTGATGCTTAGCAAGTTATGTCTAAGACCTTCAACAAGTAAAACATTTTCTATACAGGTTGAAGAAGAGTTACCAACTTTCCCAATGCCAAGGATCTTCCCTTTGTTGTTGTCCCCATAGGATACATGTCCATGTTCTTTCCTTGTGATTGAGAGAAATTTGGTGCTGTCTCCTGTCATATGCCTTGAACAGCCACTATCCAATACCCATTTGGATGAAATGCTTCTCAAGTATACCTACAAAACAGTTTTAACGTTTAATCTTTGGTACCCAAATCTGTTTGGGTCCTTGTGTGTTAGTCATAGATCTTGTTCCCTTGGGAACCCATATTTTCTTTTGACTACTAACTCCATTCTTTCTAATCTTACATGTGGATGCACTATGTCCTTTTCCACCACAATGAAAGCATTTAATGAAAGGACTACTAGTCATGTAGGATGGTGAAATGAAGAAATTCTTGTAAGATTTTTCTTGACTGTTAGTGTTGAATCCTAACCCTGATTTGTTAAACATACATCTTTGTTTTCCAAGAAGTATATTCAAGTTATCTCTACCACATGTGAATTTGCTTAGCATTTTGTTTAGATCATCATTTTCGTTTTTTAGCTTTTCACATGAAGTACATGATGATGATGATGCATGATTATTTGATGATAAACATTTAATACAATTTGCACTAGCATCAATCATCTTGAGTGTCTCATTTTCATCCTTTAAATTTTTTATTTCTTTGTTTAGACATGCAACTTGTTTTTCTAATGATCTAATAGTTTTTCTAAATTCTTTAAGAGTTTTAATATGCTTTAAAGATTCACTATGTAATTCTTCAAATAAATCTTGCAGTTCTTCATATGAAAGAGAAGTTGTAGAGCAAGTAGAGTTTACCTCGGATTCCGATTCATTGCCATCTTCCATAGTCATGAAGCACATATGTTGTATTTCTTTGCTTACTTTATTTGAAGCTTTAGAATCTTGCAAGAAACATACGTTGGCTTCTTCCTCACTTGAATTATCGGGAGAGCTTGAATCTTCATCCCAAGCTGCATAGGCTTTCTTTTTGAATCCTTTCTTCTCTTTTGATTGTCTTTTCTCATATTTGTCTTTATTTTGGAAATTTGGACAATCGGTTTTGTAGTGACCATTTTTTCCACATTCGTAGCATGTAATGTTTTGTTTAGGTGATCCTTCATTTTTTGTTTTTCCTTTTGATGGAAAGGGAAATCTTCTTTGTGGGTTTCTTCTTTTGAAGAATTTTCCATATTTCTTTACAAAGAAACTCATTTCTTCTTCATCCAATTCATCATCGGATAGATTCTTTTCTTTTTCTTCAGCTTGAAAGATTGAGCTTGTTGCTTGGAGAGCCATTCCTTTGCTTTTCTTTTTGGATTGCTCCTTCAAAGTTCTTGTCAGTTCTAATTCATGCTCTTGAAGTTTTCCAAAGAGTGTGGCAATGGACATGGTCTTCAAGTCTTTTGATTCACAAATAGCTGTCACCTTAGGTTGCCAGTCCCTGTTCAAGCTTCTCAAAACTTTCGTAACTAATTGAAAGTTAGTGTATGTAGAACCTAATGCATCTAAATGTGTGATGATATGAGTAAATCTCTTTTGCATACTTTGTATGGTTTCACCATCATTCATTTCAAATAGTTCAAATTCTCTAGTTAATCCTAGAATTTTAGAGACCTTAACCTCACTAGTTCCTTCATGCGTTATTTCTAACACATCCCACATTTCTTTTGCGGTTTTACAGGAAGCTATACGAAAATATTCATCTCTTCCTAAAGCGTTGGTGATTAAGTTTTTAGCTTTAGCATTCCAATTTGCTTCTTTAATTTCTTCCTCTGAAAATTCCTTTACATTCTTTGGAACATCATTGTTGCTCTCATCCTTTTTGGTTAGGACTTTATATCCCTCTTCAACAATGTTCCAAATTCTTAAATCATTTGATTCTAGGAAGATTTGCATTCGACTTTTCCAGTAAGCATAATCTGTACCATTAAAGAAGGGAGGTCTTGAAGTTGAAGTTCCCTCAAGAGGCATATCATTGTTCAAAGAGGCCATTACTTCTCTTGAAGCGGTTAAGCCTTTTATACAAGAGTCCAAGCTCTGATACCACTTGTTGGACAAGTGGCCTCAAACTCAAGAGGGGGGGTGAATTGAGTTTTAAAAATATTTCTATTAAAATGCCTTACTTTTCTTTTTCAAAGCCAATTTATTTAATTTAAATAATTTACAGCGTGTAGTGACTAAATAACAGAAAAATAGATCAGGTAAATATTTGATGAGATATGAATTTAAATATGCTCAAATGATTAATCAATGCTTATGCAAGAGATAAGGGATAGAGAGATTTGCAAACTTGATATATCCTGGTTCGGTCACTACCACTGTGACCTACGTCCAGACTGAAGTCGCTCGATCAAATCTTTCACTAACGGTCAAGCTTCACGGGTGCTTGACAAACCTTTACAAATTTCCAAGACTTCTGTATCTTGGTAGACTAACAAGGGTTCACTCCCCTTTCCAAGACTTCTGTCTCTTGGCAGACCAACACAAGGGTTCACTCCCCTTTTGATTCAGGAAGTAAGATGAAGGTGATAAAGAGTGGATATGTACTCTCAAAGTACAGATATTATAAATTGAAGAACTAGTAGGTGTATAGCCTAACAACAAAGATAAGCTCAAGTCTATGCAATTAGGGGTGTAAATGGGCTGGGCTGGGCTGGGCTTTGGCCATCCTGGCCCAAGCCTACGTCAAAAAAAATTTAGCCTATCTAGCCTACTGGCCTATTAAAGGCTTTATTTGTAGGCCAAGCCCGGCCCATTTTCAAAAATAAGAAAGCCTGACATGGCCTACAGGCCTCATAAGCCTCCCACTATATATACTAAGCAAAAAAAATAATTGTATAGAGTAAAGAAAGTTCCATTCATGCATGCACTAGTACTTCTCATAAGAAAAAAATGACAAACAAGAAAGAGTCAACATAATACCTCAGCTCTAGAATGTATATCATAGAGGAATAGAGTCAAAGAAATGGGAAAAATAAGAAAAATACAATTTCTAGATGCTGAAATAAAGTCTACAAGAGAATGTCATTCATCTAAAAATCATTAAACCACCATCAAGACAAGGGAAAGAAGAGTATTATTGAAAGATCTTCATCAGTAACATCATAATCCAGCAAGGTACCCATTGCTCCATGGTATTAAGTTGCAACAACATATAAAATTTGGAGACATTAGACAAGTTTTCCTTTCATAAAATAAAATAGCACAAAAAGTAAGAGATATTGGTATTTGGCACTTTGTGTCTTTGCCACATAAAATAAATATTATTTTATTTTAATAAATTAAATAGGCCAGCCTACAAGGCTGTAGGCTGGGCTTGACAAAATTGGCCTATGGCCTATTTATTAAAAAAGCTATTTTATAAGCCTAAGCCTACACTACTTTTCTGAAAGGCCGGGCCTGGGCTGGGCTCAATGTAGGTCGGGTCGTGGGCTGGGCCAACCTGGCCCATTTACACCCCTATATGCAATGATCAAAATGAGTAATATGTGAGCAAAAGCAAGCTAGAATGAGTGATAAAGACTTGGTAAATGATCAATGACCGAATTGTGTGTATTTGAGATGTTATGGGGGTTTATATAGGCACCCAATTCGAAAACTAGCCGTTTATAGCCGTTTAAAACAGTAGATATTCGGATATTTATCGAACACATATCCGGATATGTGATTATAGCCGTTTAAACAGTAGATATCCGGATATTCATCGCGCACGTATCCGGATATGTGATATCCGGATATTCAGTATCAGATATCCGGAGATTGATATCCGGATATTCTTGGTCAGATATCCGGATATTTCATGGCAGTGACCTTTTAACACATTTTCGAAAATTCCTTTCTTTCAATATGGTTTCTATGACTTGTAAAGCATATGATTGGTTATGGAAATTAACTAGAAAAGTATATTTTATGTAAGGACTCTTTCCAAACCAATTCTGAACGATTTAAACCACTTGATTTGACTTTTCTTAACGGATGTATAAGGCCATGAATATGTAACTGTTATAATGCCATGATTCTTTTTTTTTTTGCTTAAGTCATTTGAAAAACCTTTAGATGCATTTTTGACTTGTTAGTTCAAGATTCATTTATGCATTTGATGATGTGTATGACTTGAGCTTATGCAATGCTATAATACTATACAACTTTACACATTTTCCTAAGTCCTAGATAAATATACCATTGAGATCTTGGACTTGACTTGATGCTTGGCTTGCATGTTTCTTGATTTGATTTCTTTTGGATGTTGCTTCACCTTCAAGCAATCTTCTTTGACTTGTTTGTTATCATCAAAACTATGCTGATGTGGAATCATCAATAGTATCATCGTGGCAGCCACATCATCACTTTGATTCTTCAATATCTACAACGCACGAAAGATTTCAAGCTTGTGTATAAAAAGGGTAGAAGATCTCAAATTTATTGGATATTCGGATGCTGATTTTGCTAATTGCTCAGATGACAGGAAGTCAACATCTGGATATATTTTTATGCTGGATGATGGTGTTGTCTCATAGAAAAGTGCAAAACAAACCTTGATAACAAGTTCCACAATGCATGCTGAATTTGTGGCTTGTTATAGTGCTTCCACTCAGGCAGTTTGGCTTAAAAATTTGATTTCTGACATGCGAATTGTAAACTCTATTGCCATACCTATGGTGATCTATTGTGATAACACTACGGCTGTGTTTTTCTCCAAGAAAGACAAAGTCAATAATGCTTCGAAACACATGGAGATCAAATACTACACAGTGAAGGACTTGGTTAAAAAATGTGATGTTGTGATTGATAATATTAGAACTGAATCCATGTTGGCAGATCCCCTGACTAAAGGATTACGACCCGTACTATTTAAAGAACATGTGAAGAACATGGGTGTCGTGGATTCCTTTGATTCCCTTGATTAGTGGGAGCCATGTCTTGTTTTGTTTTGTTTTTCATTTTGATTATTCTGCATGCAGACTGATGTTAATGGTATTTATTGAAAGTTTATGCTGATGATCATCATTATTATTATTTTCTCTTGTTGACTGAGAATCAATGTGATCTTTAAACATATTGTGTGGTTTAAAGATGAAGTTGTTATTTTTGAGATCTCTTGTGACAATATGACATATTGGTTTATCTAACTTGAGCAATTTCATGTTATTTGGAAATTGCGTTAATTCAATTTCATGTTGTTTAGAAATTATGGTAATGCAATTTCATGTTGTTGAGAAATTGCATTATGGAGTGGAATTTCATGTTGATTGGAAATTGTACTAATGTAATTTCATGTTGTTGAGAAATTACATTGAGGACCGATAAGAATTAGTGTGTTACATTGTTGATCACATTTTGACACTAATTCTTACTACACTGCTAGGCCTTGACTCATGAAGATGTAATACTCATTGTATCTGAGTATGGAAGGTCATATGCTATGATATTTTCGGTATATTGATCGCCATGTTCCTATGATGGGGTTATATTGGATTAGATTGGATTGAGATGCTGGAATTGGAATATTATTTTTTAAATTGTGGCCATGTAAAATATTTTTCCTTGTTATTAACCCGATAGAGTCTTTTTCAAATAAAAGTATTTTAAAATAAAATAAGATAATTAATATAGCCCAAGTGAGAGAATGTTATAAATTTTATATGTGGGCAATATTAATTAATGGTTTTGTATTTTTCAAAATAATCGGGTTAATGGATATTTCAATTTAATCTATTGTGATAAGCCCATTGTGATCATGTTGAGTTGGGCTTTTGGCATCTTTTGGTATTGGGCCTAGTTGGGCAGCATAGTATAAGCATTAATGTTTGATTGGGCTTCTGTGATGGGTGAACCCATCAGACACACTGTTGATTAGGGTTTTGCTAGGTCCCCTCTTTTCCCTATTTATATTAGGGTTAAGTCTCATGAGCCATTATGGTCCCATCAGAAGGTTGCCATTTTGGAATAGGTCATAGAGAGGAAGACTCTAGCAGTGAGATCAAGGCTCTTCGCTCAGTAGATAAGATGGCCCAATCAAGTACACAAATTTCTAAGAATAAAATTTGATATATGGTGTTTTATCTATCATACATGCATCGATCTTTATTTTGAATTATTGTATGAAAATTTCTTACAGAATATATATGTACTTTTAAAGTACAAATAATACATATTGAAGAACTAGTATATATAGCTTAAACAAAAGACGAGCTCAAGTATATGATGATGAAGAAGGTATGTAAACAATGAGTAAGAATGTGTTTGAAGGAGTAATAATAGCTAAACAAATGATATGATCTATTTTCTTAGTTCTTAGAACTATTACAACTGAATTTATAGACTTTTCCAACAAAAACTAGTCGTTAATTATAACCATTTATAGTCGTTTATAGCCGTTGAAACACATTCTTAATAGGTCATATCCGAATATATGTCGAGGGCATATCCGGATATGTAACCCATATATATCCGGATATGAAAAATCCTATTTCGGATATGCCAGTATCTGTATCCTGATATTTCATGGTAGCATCTCTTGCACGAATTCTTGACTTCTTTTCACTCCAAAGAACTTTTATCATATTAGACACATGTAAGCATTCAAAACATGTAAAAACCATTCCAAACCCATTTTGATATATAATTAAGTCCTATTTCAATGCTTAGTGTCCAAGATGCATTCGTTTAAGTTCAAATAGATTCTCAAGAGTGTGAACATAAAGGATTTACAAGAGATAACTTTATTTCTTGCAACCTGAAAACGATGTCATTTTGGGATTTAAGATTAAAAAATGGTATTTTAATAAAATTCATAATACAATAGGAAAGTAAAATTTACAAAATACCCTTTATTCTTTTTCCTAAACTTCAAAACGGCATCATTTTGGAGTTGTAGAAGATAATTTTATCTCCTGTTAGAGGAGAAATATTTTTTCCTAACATAAATCTCTTACCAAGAAAAATGGTTTAAAAAATATTAATTTTGAAAAAAAGCTAGGTGAAGAAATTAT